AGCCACACTGACTGAAAAGCCTTCACAGTTTTATACTTTTTATTGATTTCAGATAAAAAGGGAGAGTAAGAGAGAGGTAGAAACATCAATGGTGAGAGAGACTCATTGGTCGGCTGCCTCTTGCACGCCCCCTACTGGGGATGGAGCCCACAACCTGGCCATGTTCCCTGATGGGGAATAGAACCGTGACCTCCTGATTCATAGGTGGACGCTCAACCACCGAGCCACGCCGGCCGGGCTGTGTTGCTCATTTTGGGGCCATTCACTCATTTCTCAAGTCAGATTCCCTCTGTGTGCCCCCGGCCTTCTCTCTCCCAGCCTCAGGCCAACAGCTGCTTCCATTTTGCACCAACAGATGCAGAGTCAAGGTGTGGGCTTGCCTTTCATAGTTAATAACACTTCGGTTTTCTACCCTTGTCACCGAAACTACACAGTGACACGGGCCCAAAGAATTGATGAGGTCGTTCTCTTTGCTCTGTGGGGGTTCGAGCTCCCTCCAGCGCACCCCCCCCCACGTCCCCCCAACCCTGTGCACGCCCTATAAACGCAGGGAGGCAGGTCTCTCTCCCCTTGTGTTTGGAGAGCATGGAGGCAGAGATGCTAAGCCACCCGCTGGGTCTGCAGGCGCTCCAGGTGAGTGGGTGCCACACCTGGTGGTACCACTAGGGGGAGCCCCTAGAGGGACTCGCCACTAAATGAAGACTCAGCCTAGATGCCTCCCAGAAATCAACCCTACGTTTGCATTGAGGGGCAGCCTGACAGGACTGCTTTTGGAAATGGAGAAGGGGGTGGCTTGCCACAGCTCCCTAAGCCAAGCCATGTTCTTCTGTTGTCTGTGACACCCGGTGACCATCTTCCATGGAACCCTCCCGGGTGACGCGTCTCCCGCCGTCACAGGCAATGCTTTGAAACGACTGGATTTCGGTGAGACTCTGTGTTGATCTATCTGCAGGGTGTCCTTGTGAAGCCGCCTTCCTTTTGGTCTCCTGTTTCAACGCGCGTTTATATGTTTCTTAGAAATAAAGATGATTTTTTACCTAGATTATAATGGGTGCTACAAAATTAAAGGTGGATGCCAACCACTATCTCTAATGGGTGCTTTTCTGTGGATTCCAACATCGCCGTCGCTTCTGTGGGTCCGTCAGAAGGCTAGTGAGTGTCTGAAATGTGGCCTGGCCACTAAGGGTGCAAAGATAAGCCACCCTTTCCATCGATTGCCCTGGTCAGTTTGGCTCTGTGGATAGAGCGTCCGCCGAAGGGTCTGGAGTTTGATTCTGGTCAAGGGCACATACCTTGGTGGCAGGCTAGACTCGGCCCTGGTCTGGGGTACGTGGGGGAGACAACCAATCGATGTGTCTCTCTTACATCGATGTTTCTGTCTCCCCTCCTCCCTTCCACTCTCTGAAAACCCATTGAAGTATGTCCTGTGGTGAGGACAATAGGACAGCATGAGCCCCTGGGATGAATTAATTTAATGTGCACGCTGGAGATCTCTCCCATCTCCAAGATTCTTTTATTTTATGACAAAACCACAGTTCTAGAAGCTTGATTCTCACACCCGGGAAGACTAGGTTTGGGGCATGATCCTGTAGAACATAAGAGGTAAGCCTGGTGAGTCCGAACACAGGGGGTCTAAGGCCAAAAAGAGATCGAGTACACGGGGGGTTGAGGGCACACGGGCGGTTTAATACACGGGTGGCTGAGTACATGGTGGTTTTGGGTACTTGTGTGGTGCGGGTGTTGGATGTGGGAGAGGATCATTTACATGAGCACAGTCAGTAGTGTGTCGGTAAATGTTTAACATCTGGCTGGGGGTGGGGAGAGGTGGGGAGGGAGCACTGTTGTAGCAGTGGTCCATTTCCGTGGTGTAAATGCTCCCATCTGGCCAACGTCAAGGTGCATCATTGGCTCTCGCGGGTGGTCTGAGGCGGCTCTAACACTCCACTGACCCTGATTTCCAAGTAAAGTCACAAACCATTGGTGGGACTTGCAAACTCCTTAGGGGCGTTAGAAGCAGCATTTTTTTTTTTAATAAAAAAAAGTAGAATGCTTCACATATAACGAGAGGATTGTTTTTGCGAAATTTCAGTTTCCATCATTTTAAGTGTGTATGGAACAAGTCACAATGTAAATGCAGTCCTTCTGTGGCTTGCTTGGAAAAACTCTAAAAGGCGCCAAAACCGGTTTGGCTCCGTGGATAGAGCGTGCGGCT